TTGGGGTTTAAGTGATTAACCAGAAAGTAGATTTATATCATATTTGTTGTACATACTCTCTGTCCCTTACTAAAAATATTTCTGGGAGATTAAGTTTACCTTGCAGATATTTTGAACTAAGTTATTCAAATGTTGTCATCAAGAAGACCTACCTGAACAAGACAGCTACTTCGGTAAAATTAAAAGAGGATGCATTTATGTCACTGCGTATGCCTTCTTTCTCTTCTTCCTCCATCCTATACTTCTAGCACTGGGGTATATGAAAGTGTCTGAAAAGACTAAATACCAGTAAGAACTCGGAGTGGGGAGAACCAGGGCTAGGGTCCCTCTAGTTATAAATAAATGGATGATTTCATTCATTCAATCTCAAATTTATTTATTTTCCTTAATTGAATACTGTTTAACATTATTTTCAAAACTTTCTTTTCTTCATCATTACCAATCAAAATTATTTTCTCCAGCAATTTCATAATGTTCCACTGAACACAGATCATATCACATTTTCCAAGTGCAGCGGAGGCTTTTAGTTCCTAGTGGAGAGAATGAAACTTCCAGACATTGCTTGGCTCCTATCACTAGAGGATAGGTTTAAATTGATTGCCCTAGGGCTAAATTATGCTCAAAATGGAAATTACTTGGAATGGCTTTAAAATTTTAAAAAAAGATTAGTTGCCAACATTTAACATCTGGGAGATTTTATTTTTTTTAAAAAATTGAGAAATGGGGCTGGAGGTGTGGCTGAGCGGTACAGCTCTTGCCCCACATGGCAAAGGCTCTCGGTTCGTTCTCCAGCACTGGAAAGAAATAAAAGACAGAAGAGAGTGAGAGATGGAAGCAGGAGAAGGAGAGAGAAGAAGAAAGAAGAAAAGGAAGGCAAGGAAAGAAAAGAAAGGGGAGGACGGATGGAAGGAAAGGGGCTTTTGAGAGACAGAAGCTCAGCATATTGGGATTGTTATGTCCCATGTGCCAGTAGGCAAGTTCATAAAGGGCAGCTGTCTTCCTGGGCGGGGTGGGGTGGTGGGGTCCTGGGTTCCCCGTTTCGCACCATTCCACATGACCTGCTTTACTGAACCAGTGTCGCATGCCTGAGCACCTTTACGTTTTGTTTTAATGCATTATGGCAGGAAAAAATTGCAAGGGTCCTTGGGCAACATTGGCAGTATCTAATTTCAACTATTAAAATGGGGTAAGAACCAAACGGAGTGGCCTCCTTCATCACTAAGGCTTCAGCCACACAGATTAGTGGTTAGTTAATAGGATTTTTTTCTTTTTGGTAATATTGTGGTTGAAAGTGAAAAAAAAAATCCTATTATTGCAAGTTACCCCGAAGAATAACCTCCATGCACCTGATGCCCACACTGAGGAAGAAAACACCACAGGTCCCTGTGCCAAATCGTTAAAAAAAAAAAAAAAAAAAAAACATCTGCCACAGAGAACAGATAACTAATAACAACAACCCCAAAGCCTGGTGTGATTTGCATTGGATTTTATCCTCATGTACTGAAGAGCTTTCCGAGGATGGCCAGTGCTGGCAGGGAAAGGGCTACTGTGCAAAAGTAACTCCTGCGTCTAAAGTGTCCAGTGTTGAATAACAAAATCTCAGTCAGTGCAGATCAGCTGACAAACTCATTCTGAAGTCAGCTACCGGTGACAGACGAAACCTCCGGAGATGAGTTGAAGGTTAAATGAAGAGGAAGGACTCTGAGGGGGCCTTGGGACCTTCTTAAATACCCCTGCGTGTCCACTCTCCTAAAGACATTACTACTTCTTTCTCCCCTGGTTTGTAAAGCCTGCTCAGATTCAGAGAGGTGAAAATCAAGGTCTTGTTTCCTGTTGCTTTAACCTTCTGTCTGGTCGTATTTAGATAGGAATTTCATGTTCTGGTTTAACGTGCCCACTGAATAGGAGAGTCAGCCCTCCCTGTCTGCAGCTTCCCTGTCCGTGGATTCAACACATCGGCAATCAAATATATTTGGGAAAGAAATGATCTGTGCAGAGCACATGTAGACTTTTTGTTGTTGTTGTTACTGTGCCCTAAACAATTGGGTGTAACACAGCATTTATATTATAGTAGATATTATAATTAATCTAGAGGTGGTTTGAAGCCTGGGGGAGGATATGCACAGGACACAGGAGAACATCGTGCCACTTTATGTAAGACTTGAGATTTGGGTATCCAAACGTGGTGGGGACGCAGGTCCCGGCACCAGTCTGCTGATGATACGACAGACAGCGTATATCCGTATATCCTAATAATAGTGGCTAACACTATTGAGTGCTTCTTAAGTGCCCCCCATTTTTATGCATTATCTCATCCAATCCTCATAAAAACCGCAGGGGATACACACTGTTATAACCTACCTATTTTAGAAGAAACAGAAGCATTCAAGGGCTAAACATAACGCTCCTCTCCACGTTAGTAAGTGATCTGTTCCAAAAGTCCCCTTTCAACCGCGATTCCACAAGGCTAACAACCTTCAAAATATAATTCAAAATAATCCATCCTTTTGTAATGGAGTTAAAACTATGAAAATTGGGTTTTGGCCTTGGTCACAGGTTGTACCAATAAACTAATAACAGAGGAAGACAAGATTCAGTAAAGGTCAAACGCAAACTGATGAATTACCAAGAAAAATGTTTTTGAAGTTATTAGTCCTAAATTATATTATGAACAATCCACAATACAAATCTCCAGAGAGACTTAATGATGTTAGGAAGATCCAGAGAAGGCAGGACCAATAATAAAAAAGAAAGGAATGGGGCTCCAACAAAGAGAGACAAAAAGGTCAGTGTATTTTATTCTGGAACATTCAGTGGGAATGGGTGTATCAGAGGTGCCTCCTCCTAGAAACATAACTAAAAACAGAATACTGCCTCACCTCCAGTATTTACGTAAACAGTAAGTGTGAAGAGCTTATTCTAAGAATTGGTATACTTTGGGAGAGATGCCTGGGATGTCTATATTTTCGAGGTTTGAACTTCTAAGAAATAAAAGAAATTGAGTATGTTTCAGAGATATATGTCCCTAGGTTTGAACTTTACTCTGTAGCCTGAGCAGTCTTCTCAAAACATAGAGCTGATCGAGGGATGCTTTCTTCTATTAAAACGGATTCTGCTTATCACCGTGAAGAATATTTAAAATCCTTCACATAGTCATGAAGGGAACTGCAAGTTTTTGTACTTACTTTTCTGGCTGCCTTTGGAGTCACATTTCCCCTTGGTTGCATTTGAGGGCATCTGACCTGTCCTCCAGTGTGTACACTTTCGGGGGCGGGGTGGTTTCCTTGGTCAGGTCAGACCTTCCCTACCCAGAACCCCAAACACAATGTTGCATTCCCTTCGCGGCTGTGAACTCCTGGGCTTGCAGAGGCCAGACATGCCCTGGATTACCAGTGTTCCTAGCAGCTGAGTAAAAGTCCTGGGAAGACACAACTGTAGAAAGGAGGAGCCCTGTGCTCTCCAGAGCGGAACCCTACTTTGGCTGAACTGGGGAGCCAGGGATGCTGTTAGTATTTTTATTGTTTTATTGAAAATATGAGGGTAGAGAGTCTTTATTTGTAAATTAAGAGATGGCTGGGAAATCGATACATTTGAAGCCCTAGTTAGGAGATTATTGTTTAATTTATGTTCCTATTCCTAAGAAAAAACTCTGATCCCAATTCTTCTATCTCCTCTCCTGCTTTGTAGATCTTATCTAACATATTATACATTTTAACTTACTTTTTTGTTTATTGTGCAGTTTTGCAACTAGGAAGTAAACGCCTGCAGGAAAGGGATGTTTGCCTCTTGTTCACTGCCTTATCTCCCAAGCCTAAAAAAGCATTCAGCACAGGGCAGGTATTCCTCTCTGTATCTGTTGGCTGAATGAGTTTGGGTTCATCTTCCTTGCCCAGAGATTACAGGCAGAAAGCATCAAATTACTTCAAAGTAAATTTTTAAAAAATCCTGGTAGGGAATTTTTAAAGATCTCAGTAGGATTGTATTCTACTGTGCATTTTTAAACGAAGCTCCTTCAGATAGGAGAAGCCTGCGAAAACTACAAGTGCTTCAGAATCACCTGAGAGATTGGGGAGAGATTGCAGATTCTCACCCTAAGAGATTTGGAATCTGCATTCCCCAGCCTGGCACAGAACAGGTCTAGTAGTTGGAGGTGAATTAGAGTCCAAACACCAGTCTGGAAGCCACTCACTGGCTGTGACTGCGCCCACGGTGGTCTCTCAGTATGTGTTGGGTAAAGACTGGAGCCCTCTCTGAACAGGGTTTATTCCCTACCTTTGCTCTGTTCCCGTGAGCTTTGGCAAGGAATAATGAATGTTCCGAAGACTTGCACGGTTTTTTCCCATTTTACAGACCCATCCCTATCTGCCGGCTTCCCCTCCATTGCCACAAATATTCGCAATGCCTACCGGAATGAAGGCGGGGGTGGGGTGGGGGGGTGCGCAGAGCCCAAAGGGAAAGTGCATGCTGTCCCAGTGTCCAGAAGGGGACATCTCCACCGCCAAGGAAGTGCCTCGTAGGCTTTGCTTTTGCCCCCGAGGCCAATAGCTGGCGACTTTTGGTCGCTCCCCTTAGCAGACGTGCAGGGCCAGGGAAAACATTCCACTCCCGGGCGGAGGAGGCGCGGGGCGGAGCCTGGGCCAGGGGGGCGGGGTCAGAGACATCCCGAGGTGGG